ACCTTCCCCTCACATAATTATGGATGGTGAAAATGACCCGGGAAGGATGCATCTGGTCCATGCCATGCGCGATTTCGCTGGGGTTTACTCTCTCGGATTCGTCGCGTCCGCCGAAGCGGTCTCCGAAACGCCCGGGCCCGCTTGAAGGCGATCTCTCGGATGTGGATCGAACGGATCGCAGAGTCGTTCGCGCTTCAGGCGCCAGCGTGGAGAAGTTCGTGGACTACCGTGTGACCATGCTGGCCAAGTTAGGCTCTGCCGACCAGTGCGTCGAGCCCTGGCGAGGTTTCCGCGACTCCGGCAACCGTTCCATGCATCGAAGGCTTGCAGGTTCTACACCCTAAAACCAAGGGTGAAGGTCTAACAACCTAGACTATCTGGTTGTTGGGGGGGGCAGAGTTCTTTTGGATCCAACCAAAGGTTCTACCACCTATCTCCAGATGTTCTCTTTTTTTTGGTGGGGGGCAGGGCGAACTACTTGGCCGTGGGCTGCTGAGCCTGCTTGGCAGGTTGCTGTGTGACGGGACGTGCGTCGCAAGATAGAGTGGCGATCAGGCAGTCTCACAACCACATGTTTGTTCATTTGTTCATCACATGTTCATAAAGGAGCACTGTGACGAATGTCAAGGTGAAGAAGAGATCTAGGGAGAAGGTGAAAGAAATGCAATTGATGACATCTGGGGGCAGCATCATTCTGCACGATGCAATCACGTCAAGCTGAAACTACTGTCACCAAATAAAAATATTGGCATATCACGTTAAGCCTGCTTAAACATGTCCTAATTAGTTGTTCTTGCTTGCACTGAGTGAAACAAGAGGACCCTCAATAAATCTACGAAAACCACGCAAAAAAACGGTCAAAAACTACCAGGTGCATGCACCCTTTCAGCAGCTCTGGCGCTTTCGGCGCCTCACAAGGACCTTTTGCGGAAAAGCTTCAATCAGCAGATGGCGGCCTTCGCAGGCGGCTTGGGAAACCGGGCCGGTCTTGGAGAAACATAGGTCGTGGAGAAGGCAAATCTCTTGGACGGACGCGAAAGGATGGTTTGGTTGAGAAAGATGCATAGTGAACCGGTCAGTGGGTTGTTTGAAGATTTAGAATTTGAGCTTGTAATCTTGCTGTTTGTAATCTTGGATTCTGTTGACTTTGTTGATTCATGTGCTTGGTCTGGCAGCGGCCGGTCTGTGTGTTGCAACCTTCGCAGCGGTTGGAAGGTCGCACGGACGGTTGGAAGGACGGATCCCAAATCGCCGATGAACCGGGACGACTGAGTCCCGATGACAATGAGTTGTGGTTTGCAGCTGGGGAGAAAACATTGATAAAACCAACTCATTTGGAGTATAGAACCGGATGTTATACTGTATACTGGTATGTTCTATAACATGTTATTCATCAACACGACCTGCCTGGCAGGTTGAATATGATCAAATCAGACCTAGATTCTCCGTTTGATATGCCGGCTCTTTGTTAGGGTGTCACTTGTGTAGTTAACTACGTACGTTTCGTCCAAACACACATTTGCTGTGGAACCGCGCGGCTATGCATTTGCTCTGTCACTTTCTTGGCAGCTATAGTACAGTGGCCTTCTGTAACAGCAACTGTCCCATCATGAAACCACCCTCGCCGGCAAAGTTGCTGGTATACTTACCACAAGTCTTAGAAGACTACATGCGGTCATGAAAGGAAGAGCCGTCAACCCGCAAGCCTTCCCTGCTGTGTTTTCCTTCAAACTCGACATATCGCCAGCCAGCTCAATGGGTCCGAACCGGTTCTCGATCCAAGGGTCCTTGCTGGAGCCCTTGAAGATTGCCCTGGGAGATAAGGCAGGACGCCCCCCACCGTCGATCTCCAGAGCATGCGAAGAGCTCGAGCTGGTCATTGGTCCTCGTTTGGCCAGGTGACGATGGAGTTCAGTGAGGGTCAGTCAAAGGTCTAACCTCTGACTCACTAATAAGTCTTAAAGTGGATGGCATGGTCCCTTGGAAGACCACTTTCCTGTACGAACGGGGGGTTTTCCACAGTCAAAGGTCAGAAACTAACTGCGTTTCTATTCAGTCCAACGGCACCAAGAACCAACAGCACGTAGCAGGAACCAACGTAGCAGGAATGTATACTTGGAACATCTCGTGAGGGAAAAGGAGGCTGCTTGGGTGCTGGCGTTCTTCTATTCTTTTAAAGCTATGGCATCGGGAGATTAGAAGTGCTCTGTGAGACTCCATAGCCACGTGGGCTGGGTGCTGCCTGCAGTAGGCTGTGGACGAGATCAATGACCTCTCCACTAAGACCGACGAGGTCCTTCAGAACCTCCAGCCCCTGGGTTTTGTGAGCTTTTGTGAGGGTCCATCCTCCCAGGCTGCATCCTCGCGTTTGGCTGCATCGTCGCGTGGTGCTTTCATGGATTTCACACACCATCCGATCACATCCGCTCCGCGCCGTCATCGGAACGACCAAGCACACCGCGATGGACCCGGTTTACCCCGCCCAGCATGGTACGTAGTGCAGAGGAAAGTGCTGTGGGATAGAGACACGGGCCTCCCGGTACCGCAAAAAGTTTAGGAACCATATTATCATATATTATATATCATGCAATTTTGCAGTATCTTGAAGTCACGTGAATCCGAACTTTTATACTCTAGTTCAATGCCCCAAACCTGAAGCAGTTCCGGACGTTTTGTTTTTCCCTTTTGTTATCCCTCTTTGACATGTACATCTCAGGGTTCCCCAAGGACCTTGGTGACGACCACCAGCAGTGCGCTCACACGCATTGGTCTCTCGGAGCGAACGCGACCCGACTTGGTCTCCCACGTCTTTGCCATGGTGGGGCGGAAGGGTTGTGCTAGTCTTTGGTTGGTGTGTCCTTTTGTTTTTTTCGGAGAAATCAAGAATTAACTTAAGAACTTGGTATACCAAGAATTAATATGAATTAACCAAAGGATGAACACATCCGATCGAGACATGTCTCGAAGGGACAAAAGAGAAGTGAGTTTGGGCATCTCAATGACAACCAAAGGAAGGGACAATCCTTGCCAGTTACACGTTCCAGCCCCCGCCAATGTGTTGACAAGGCTGCTTGGATGTGGGATGTGTGTGTGTGCGCTTTTTCTTGTCGGGCGCTGGAATCTATATCCTCCAAGCTACGAAGAGACTCGAGAGGGAAAACGGAAAATACACCCGGCCTAGATCTTGAAAACACGCACGTGCAACATTTCGATCCCTCAGTGAAACCAACCGTAGAACTCGACAGATTGAATTTGTTGCATACTTCAGATCGATAGGCCTTTTTCAGATCCGGCCCGCTACTATAGTAGCAAGGACGTTATTAGGTGGAGGCCATTGCTACTATAGTAACAAGAAGCTGCTATTCGGACTATTTGCCTTAATTATTTAGTTTGGTTTCCCGTTTTGTCGCCACCACTCTCTCGAGTGCCACCATCGTGTCGCACGAGTTCGTGTCGACTCGGTGGCTGGGGCGCGGCTATGGCGTTGCGGTGCGCAGGGCTTTTCGAGCGCGCCCCCGGTGCTGAGGAGATGGAGTGGATTCCAAGAGACTTAGCGAAACGAAGTTGGGAGGGTCAATGGACTGAGAAGTCAAAAGTGTAGTGTTTTCCGTGCATTTTGGGGTCAGTTCTGGGTCATGTCGGTTCATGTTGCCTGTGGCGTTACCTCCCAAACCCGTCGGCTCGCTATCCGCGGATGTGGACGGTCCGAGCGAGTTCGCCATGGGTCCGACATCGGTCCGGCCAGGGCTGCCGGGGCTGGCAGAAGCTTTCTTCCCCGAACACGCCATGGATGGAACCCTAAACCCTAAACCCTAAATGAGTATAGTATGAACATGTATGAACCGAAATGGATTCCCCTCCCGTTCCCCTTTGCTCGTTCTCGCATACATGGAGTGGTCGGTCGAAGCCATCGGCCTTTGAGAAGACAGAAGCCCACCGAGTCCCATTCCAAAGGTGTGTGGTTTTGGAACCCATCATACCAGGACCATCCTCCTGGCTGGGCTATCTGGGACCTCCAGGTTATCCCAGGTTCAGGATGGTTCAGGTACTCTTCCAGACTTGAGCCGACTTGCCAGCTGGATTTTGAGATCCCGATCTCATCAAATCCAGCAATTTCACCACCCGACCCCTGCTACAAGTGTCCATGGTGCATTTACAAGTGTCATCAAGTGTCTATTGTCACTATATGCCCATTCCAGGTCCGTTGTAAGGATTGTATAGTCCCATTGCAGGCCAATTTTTAAGGATCGATTGTTCCATTTTGTCCGCCAGGATCAAAGCAGCCAGAGACCAGGAGGGCTTTTGGGGCCACCTTTTCCACGGCCTTCTCCGCTGAGATCACAGGGGGTTTCAGCCCTGTTTTGCTCACCAAATGGTGAACATTTCAGCCCTGTCCACCTCGGCCGCACTGCAAGAAAGCTCCATTTGTGCGCTGTTCCGAAGGGTGCAAGTGCTGCAGGTGGTCACTCAACCAATGTCAATTTCGAGACAAGACACCCTGCAATGTTCATAACATTCTATACATGTTTGTTTTTTATGACTCATAACGCACGTTTCCGTCATTCTATTTGTGGTCGTCTTTCCATGTGACAAGTTGAGCAGTTCCCTTGTCTCGGTGGTGTACATGGAAAAGGAGATCTCCTTCAAAAAGGAACTCCAAACGCCCCAACGCTCCATGGGGATCACCCTGACAGGTCTATGTTGCTTTGGACGTTCATTGCTTTGGATGTTTTCATTGCTTTGGGCACCATCGCAGTGGTTTGGATCCAGAAAACCAGAAGCAGGGAGGTGGAAGTTCTCTCAACACGGGCGCCCGTGGAAGTACCCATTTGGTAGGAGAACCTTTGTAATTTTAGAGTGGGTTGAGAGTAGGTGACACAATCCTCAAGTTGGATGCTTTATATGGACCGACCATTAAATGACCATTATGGACCCCCATGCTAAAAGACACAGTGTTTGTGCAATCGAGCAGCTGAGAGCAGCCTGAGCAGCCTTCGGAGGTCCAGCGGTTGGACCCAGCGCAAGCCTTACAGCCCTTGAAGTTCATGCGTAGCGGAGCACAGGCTGGGTGCGTCGACGGCGCGGCTCGTACCTTTTGAAGGAAGTGAAATAGGGGAGCCCTCTAAACAAAAGGAAAGGAGACCATTTCCTGAAGTAAATGGAGTAGGGAACAGGAGACCATTAGGGAAAAGGAGACCATTACCATTAGGAGACCATTTGAATAATTTGTTGTTCCATTTTCCGCCTCTCTTTCTTTGCTCCCCCCTCTCGCAGGTCATCACGGCCGAGGACCTCTCCGAAGAGGTGGCCGCGGGCCGCGCGGGCCGCGGGCGCGGGCTGAGACGAGACAGAACGAGACAGAACGTGTAAGCGGTCAGTAGACATACTGACGAGTTCATAGGAGAAATGCCTCGGAAGGAAAGGGTTACGGTGCCGTCTATAAGCTGAGACAGCCTGAAGAAGAAGGAGAAGAAGAAGAAGAGCGAATAAGGAGATGAAGGCGATCAAAAAAGAAGAACGTTGGTACCTAAAAGTTGTTGTAAACACGCGGAGGAGGAAGAAGAAGAAGAAGAAGAGGAAGAAGGGCCCATAAGAAGGGGAAGGCTTTAGACAAGAAGAACATGATTAATATTGATCAATACGAAAAAAGGTTCACTTTAAAGAAGACCACATGTTAATTGTTTTATTCAACATGCCGAAGACAAATACATGCTAAAAAGAAGGCGGCTGTTGAACAGAAACACAATGAAACACATATTAATGAAAAAAGGAAGGCTTAAGAAGAATACATGTTTCAATCACTGAAGAGAAGAGGAGAAAAGAGAAGAAACGAGAGGAGATGCGACGAGACGAGAATAGAAGAGACGAGAAGAGGGAAAACTTCAGAAGAAACATATATTGCACACACATTGAACAACAATACAGCACAACAGACCAGTCACTCAAGGAGTGTCCTTGAGTGGATGGTCCCGCTGCGTGGACTGACTCAGGACTCAGGCGACTTCGGCTGTTGGGACATGTTTGAACAGGTTCTGAACAGAGACCTTATGCCAGGAATAGTGCTTTCTAGCAATCAAGATGTTCACCCTGTGCATGTTGACCGCTCCATGATGCTCCCAGTGCTGCAGTTGTCTCGGGTGCTGCAGTTGTGCCTTCTTGTTTGCACTCCACGTGGAAGCCATGCGCCTTTGTGCCGTCTCGGGCACCACCATTGCAGAGCTTGATGACGATGAACTGCAGGAGATGGTGGAGAAGGGCAACACTGTCCTAGCCTTGAAGAGGCGCCTCGCCGCTCAGCTGGGATACTCGAGGTTTCGGCAAAGACTTTTGACTGAGAAAGGTGAGTTGCAGGATGACGAGGCTTTGCTGGCATGGCCTGAGTTGCAGTTGGTCATTTTGAACTATTATCCATGTCACTTGGACAAGTTGAGCCTCCAACATGCATGTTCCACTGGTCAGCAGGGTGAAGTTGAGATGCTTAAAAAGCCATACGACCCCAACGGCCGCAATACAGACGGCCGTGATACACCTTTGCACACAGCGTGCTACAGTGGCCACTTGGAAGTAGTGCAGTTGTTGGTTGAGGCTGGAGCCAACAAGGATGCAACATGTGCAGACACCAATGCAACACCTTTGCACTTGGCATGTTGTCAGGGCTTCATGGACGTGATATGTTTCTTGATGGAGGCTGGAGCCAACAAGGAGGCAACATGTTCAGATGGCACAACTCCTTTCCATTGGGCAATTTGCTGTGGCCACTTGGAAGTAGTGCAATTGTTGGTTGAGGCTGGAGCCAATAAGGATGCAACATGTGCATACACCAATGCAACACCTTTGCACTTGGCATGTTGTCAGGGCTTCATTGAAGTGATATGTTTCTTGATGGAGGTTGGAGCCAACAAGGAGGCAACGTGTTCAGATGGCACAACCCCTTTGCATTTTGCGACGTGTAGTGGCAACTTGCAACTAGTGAAAGTGCTTCTTGAGGCGGGAGCTAACAAGGATGCAACAGCGGTGAACGGTTGTCCTTTGCATTTTGCGTGTGGCAATGGCCATTTGGAAGTCGTGCAGCATTTGCTTGAGGCTGGAGCCGACAAGGATGCAACAAATGCAGATGG